CCCCAGCTCTTGCCCCAACCACTCTCTCGACATCAGCGGGAGAATTTTGCACAAGGAACGGTTAAAATACAACCCCGGGGTGGGGGGACGGGACATGATGGAGGAGGTGGTGTGCGTGGGGAGGGGAGAGGTTACTGCCCGGAGAACAGAAATGTTCCCCCTCTCCCTTCCCCTTCTTTTACTGGGACCAAACCGAAGCCAGATTTTGAACGAGAACTGGGCCAGTTTTCGAAAGGATGTGGCCAGAGCTGGCCGGGGCTCTGAAGCCTTCGCCGAGGCCCTGAAGCCTTCGCCGAGGCCACGCTTCCACAGGGGGATGGCTTTCACGTCTGTGCCCTGGGACACCACCGGGCCGGGGAGGCTTTTGGGAGTTCGGCCGGAGCAGGGCTGGCCAGCACCCCCAGCCCTCCGTCGCTCCGCGGCTCCCCCACGGCACCCACACCGGCGGGTCCAAAACCACGGCGCCTTCCCCCGGGAAGCGCTCGCATCCCGACCCGGTCCCGGTGCCGACGGCCGTGCACACCGCAGGGCCGGGAGAACCAAGTGGCCGGAGATTTCTTAAAGCTTTGGGGAGGAGGTGAGTACAAATTCGACCTGACAGTGTCCCTTTAGCACAGCATTTTCTTTTTTTTTTTTTTTTTTACTTCTTCCAAAACATCAGCATCCACTACAGAGCCTAGGAACGTCGTCCACCCCTCCATCTACCTCTTGCCCCTACGTACTATTTTACCGTTGATGCAAAACGGTGGAGGCCCATCATTTCACGCCCCTCCACCCGATATCTGAAGATCGAAAGTGGATCTTTATCGACGCAGAGCACCGGAGCAGCCCGCCCCGAGAGTGGCAAGCTCAGCCTCTCCTCCGGTGACCGAGGATGGCTCGAGCGGACCATACCGGGGTGCAGGCAGCAACCGGGAGCAAGCGGCAGCAAACTGAGCAGAAGAGGGGATGTTCCCAGGAACATTATTACGATGAAAATAAAGTCTCCTGTAACTGAAGGGAAAAAAATATCTCAGGCGATTTTTATTTCTTTTTTTTTTTTCTTTTTTAGTCGAGGGGTAAGAAACGGGGAAGCGGTGGTGGTGGGAGAAAAATTATATATATATAATTTTATATACACATATATATATATATAGGTGCTTGATGAGTTAAGTGCCTATATATATATATACACATATATTTATAGATAGGTATACTGGTACTTGATAGGTTAATCCAACACACATCTTTACCATCACAGCATTTTGGCATCCAGAGACCGGTTGAACAAACCTGATGATGTTCAGATGCTGGCTTGCATCTTGCGTGCATTGGCACAGAAGCCAGATTCGAAGCCCATCCTCTCCCACTTCCCAATGGTTTAAAAAGTATCTGATTTAACAAAACCAGGAGTCTTGAAATGATTAAAGGATGTTCAACAAGGCAATTTTTTTTTGTTTTGTTTCGTTCTGAAAAAAATATAATATATAAAAGTGGCCAACCTCAGGAAGATCCAGGTAAAGGACAGCTGAAGAGGTTTTGGTCCATAAAGAAATACTTTTTCTTCTTTTTTTTTTCCCCCCACTCGGTTTTGGGTAACAAAAGTTTTGGTCCAGTTTAAAAACGACGACAACAAAATTATATATATAAACTCGGGGTTTGTTTGTTTTTTTTTTTGCTTTCTGTTGGGATGCATGTTGGTTTCGTGTGGGCTCATTGCCTGTATTGCATGATCGTCTTTCTTAGGTTTTGGTGCGATATATATATATTTTTAAGAAAAGAAAAGCACAATGTTACGTGTGTGCGTGTGTGTGCGCGCGTGCGTGTTGTGTGTAGCTGCAGCTGGCATCGCTTGGAAAAAAGGATGAAGAGTGAAGTACGGAAACGCGGAAGTCGATACACTCCCCCCATGGATGGGAACTCAGGACTGCTTTTGAAATACCCTGTTAGTGACTCCTGATTCGTCTGATGAACAAATCCCTGCTCGGATAAGGAAAAAAGAACAAAGTTCCAGACTCCACGGTGGCTCAGAATAATAAAATAAATGCTAATCGCCCAGTGTGATTCCAATAGGTTCTTCCAAACCTTCTTCAGTTTCACCGGCGTCATTTTTATTTCTTCATCTTCTTTTTTTGATTTTCTTTTTTTTGTGGTTTTTTGTTTGGTTTTTTTTAGAAAAAAAGGAAAACAATAAAAGTTCTTTAGCTGCTGTGGTTTTTTTTTTTTTGTTTAAATCTTTGAGGTAATACAGTTGTGCCCTCGTTCTAACAGGTTCCCAGAGGTTGATGGTTTCTTTCTTGTTTTTCTAAATCCCCGTCATCCGTTTTCCTTTCTTTCTATTTGTTTCTTTCTGAGCTCCCAGTTGGGCTGACATCCCTGGGGGGGAGGAGAGTAGGGGCTTCAGACCAAGATGAAGACTGAACGTGGCTGGAGAAGAAAGGCCGGCAGGGCCCTCCCCGCGTCCCTGCTCCCTTCCCCGTCCGATCGAGGTGGCCTGGCTTGGTCAATGCAGAGAAGTCCCAATCTCACCACCAAAAAAAACTGAACTAAACCGCTTTGCTTGTGAGATCCGAGTGTGCGTTCAGAGTACTTGTTTTAAAAAAGACATTGCAGGCTGGAGCATCGTTCGCCCTTCAAAATTTCTGGCTTTGCTATTCATTTTAATTTTATTATTCACTTTTTTTTTTTAAAAAATAACATACATTGCTTGTAAAATAATTTCTTTTTTTTTTCTTCTTCTTCTTCTTTAAATTAATTTATTCTTTCATTCATTCGTTTGTTCTTTTGATGTCATTATTATTATTATTATTATCATTATCATTATTTTTCTTCCTCTGCTGTCCTATTAAACTGTCTCTATCTCAACCTGCAGGTTTTACTTTTTTTTTCTCATTCTCTCCCCCATCGCACTGGGGGCAGGGAGGGTGAGCGAGCTGCTGTGTGGTGCTTAGTTGCTGACTGGGGTTAAACCACAACAGTACTCCGGACTGAAGGCCCCCCCCCTTCATGAAGACACTGTATGATAGCATTTCTTTTCTGATGATTTCCAGCAGCTGTTTAAAAGAACTTAGATTTTGTTACCTTTTTTTTTTGTCCCTGCCATCTGGAAGGTTGTTAGCAAATGTGATTACTCTGATGGCTAAATAACCCCTTTTGATTTCAACTTTCCAGTTAAACACACCATGCACTCGCGGCTGCTGGAGACAGACGTCCGGGCAGCGGTAGTCGTCCCCAGCTTGGAAAACCCTTGGAGCGGTTCCCCCTGCGACCGCCTGGGGAGACCGGAGAGATTGGGCTCTTGGATGGAGGAGGACGGGGAGCGATGTGAATTTGGGTGGATGGCGCCGGTACTGCTGGACCGCTGCTGCTTCGAGAAGAGCACCGAGACGGGGTTGGTGTTCTCCTGCCCAGCCCACATCGGGGCACCCGACTCCGGCACCCCGTAATAGAGATCTTGCTTGTTCACGCCATAGTTGGGGAAGAGGTAACCGTAATTGAAGTCGTTTTGGTCATTCAGCCGGGGGGTCTCGTAGACGGGGTCGACGGAGCAGTCGCCGATGCACCCCAGGCTGTTCTGCCGGAAGGTGGAGAGGGGCTTGCAGCCCGGCGCCGGCGTATGGACCCGCCAGGCCTCCGAGTAGCGGTTCTCCATGCCGGAGTCGGGGCTGCTGGAGAGGAAGTCGTTCTCGTTGTTGTATTCCAGGATCTTGCCCGTCCTCACCGCGATGTGGGTCTCGATCTCCTCCCGGGCGCGCTCAACATTGCCCGGCGCGCCGGTGATTTCGAAGACGGGGTCCCGGTCCCGGCTGGGCGTGATGATGTAGGTGTTGGTCTGCTGCTGGATCCGCTTGATGGTGGCTCCTTTGGGGCCCACCACCAAGCCCACCACGCGGTAGGGCACGCGCACCCGGATGGTGACTTGCCCCGGCAAGGTAGGAGCGCTGCCAAAAGTGGTGCCAGCCTTGTTGCGGGAGGCCCTGATCATGGAGAAGTGCTCGGCAGCGGAGATGATCTCCCGCCGGGCCATGGCCACGTCCTCCCGCCGTCCCGTCACCATGAAGACCGGCTCCTCGCCCCGCACTGGCGTCTTGATGTAGGTGTTGGTCTTTGCCCGCAGGGCTTTGATCTTGCAGCCTTGGGGAAGAGAGAGAAAACAAGGCAGGGAGGTTAGAGAGGCTGTCCCGCCACCCTCCCCTCTCCTCAGGAAACCAGGCTGAGCTGCCATGTTTTCAGCAGGCCCTGCACCACGCAGCAGCCACTGCCCGGGGACCTAAAATGAGGGAAAGGCCCTTTTCCCCCTAAACCCGATAGGAGAAATGCCAGAGGGAGGTTTCCCCCTCGCCATCCCCATGGAGCTCCTCCCTCGGGAGCTCCCCGCTCCCTCATCCCATGGCAGGTGTCACCATTTTGCGTGCTGCCCCCCACCACCGAAATCAGAAATCCTCCCCTCAGAAATCAGCCACTTCTCAGCAATCACCCCTCGGAGATCTCCCTTTCACACACCCGCAAGCACCAGGGAGCTGGGGGGATTCCAGCCCTCCCCACGGGCCAGCAGTCCCCGTGAGGAAGCACTGAGGCCCGGGCCCCGCCATGCTGCCCCTCAGAGAAGATGGCCGCCCTGGCTCCCCTCTGGTCTCTCCCTCTCTCGTCTCAGCTCTTGGGACAGGAAGGATTCGGCTGACACACAGGGCCGCCACAGAGGCTGGAGATGACAGAAGAAAGCAGGGAGACGCTGAGTCCACGGCCAGGCATGGCCGACGTGGAGCCCCTTTGTTGCCCTGCGCCAGCTCATGGGGAGCATGAGGGGAGAGACGTCTGCCATAACTCAAGAGAGCAGAGCCCTCCGCAGGGACTTCTGTCCTACCGTGGAGCTTTTGGGGTGAACCCGGTGCGACCCGGGTCACTTTTGGCAGGCCAAGTTTGGGGTGGGGTGTAGCAGAGACGAAGCAATTTGCACTCCCCGCCTCATATACGGTGGGACCCCAAACGTCAGCACCGCTAGAAGGCCAAGGGGGTAGCAGGATGCCGGTATTTGCTTTGGGGTCAAAACAGCAAGAAATGGGGCAGGGCTGCCCTCCCGTGTCCACGCACAGCCCCACCACGCAGCGAAGGCATGGCGGTGGCTGCCCGGGGAGGGGAGGCCATCCAGCCAAGGGCTGCATTTCTCCCTTGGCTCTCCATCTGGTCCATCAAACGCTGATGGCCGCAGGCCTCCCCACCACAGCGGTCCGGGCGCTCGGACCCTTTCCTGAGGTCATTTGCCATGCCAGTGCTTTTGTATATCAGTATCCACCTCCCTGGAGCCCACCGAGACCTTTCCCCCTGCTCCTTACAGCTCAGAAAACATCTTTCTGCTTTTCCAAAAAAGGCAAGAGACTTTTCAGTGTGTTTTGGCTTCCAAATCGTTTTTTAGAGGGGTTTAGAGCCAGCTGTGTGACTCCAGGTTCCTAGATGACACTAGGATGCCATCAAGCAACTAAATATTGTTACAGATGTGGCACAGTTTTCTAAACTACTTCTGGAAACCCTCCCTGCTGCTGTCCCTCTGATCCCTCTCTCCAAAAGCCTTACTCGGTGCCTGAAGGCACTTTCAAAGCCTGGCACCATGTTCCCATGCAGACTGGGGCTTCCTCTGCGGGGAGGTTTGCTCCAAGCTCGGGTCTCTTAAGAAAAATTGAAAAATGTGATTCTCCAGGGCACCACATTTCTACGAGCGCAGATGGAGTAAGGCGAGCATTTTGCCCTGGTTTCCCAAGGATTCAGGCATCTGACCCGGGGCTCATGGAACAAGAGGATCGGGATATGGCACTGAAACCTCTGTGGGATCCCCCACCTCCTCCCCACCCCATCTTCTCTCCCCAAAAGGAGCCCATCTCTTGTCCTCTCCTCTGGCCGTCTGACACCAGCAGGTTTTCCTCAACGTACTGCGCTGACATCATACTTTAACACAGGATGACCTGCAAACGATGCTTCTGCAACCAAGAAATTAAGATTCCTCAGCCTGCGGGCTGGAACATTATTATTTATACAGATGCTAATAAATAACCTCTCTCCCAGCTGGGAGTTCAGGGCTGCCACTCACTTTGTGTTGCCACTTATCTGCAGCTCGTCTCGTCAGACACAGACTTGTGACATCAGGGTATTTACAGGAACGTAACGATCCCACCACCGCGTATCATTAGCAAGAATCGAACCCCGCACCTTTGGTGATAAAAAGAGAGCCTCGTGCCACTACAGCTGACAAGAATAATTCCCCGCGCTCGCAGCGGTGGCAGGCGCCGCACACGGTACAACCAATAGCTACAGCTGCACAAAGCATGCTCAGCCCGCCGGGTCACACTCGCATCTCGCAACATCGCATGGGCACCGGGGTGCAGCCTCGTCAAACTGCAGGAGACTGCGCGAACACGAAACCTCCCAGCATCGCTCTGAAACCCCACCGCCTGTCAGAGGGTTTTGGCATTGGCGTAGGACACGTGCCGGTAAATCCTGACTTTGCTGTCGACACCCAATGCGACTCTTAACTCCTCAAAGCTACTTCAGCTCTCCGAGCCTCAGTCCCCCATTTGTGGAACGGGAAGAATAGCTGCCTCTTGCTCTGCGTTACGGCAAAACTTCCTATAATACTTAGCATTGCGATGCTGCTGCATTAAACCCATCTCTAAGCCACTAATTTCACGTTCCTGGTGAATGGAAATGCTAGATCTGACCCAGAGAAGGAGCTGGGCAAATCCCCAAAATCCAAACCAAATCCACCGCCTGCCAAGTCTAATGTAGCTCACACGTTACTCCCCGCCGAGTTTGCACCCTGAAGTATATTTGCAATGCTTTGTTTAGTAAAGTTTCTAAACAGCTGATGTGGACCGATGGTCATCTACAGTGTTGCGTTATTAGTACTTAGGAAACTCGAAGAACAGGACTTTACGGTGCTAGGCACGACACCGCTGTAGGAATAAACCCACGCAGACAAAATCACAGAATAAAGCTTCATCCCAAGGAGCCCCTGGAGGGCGGGATAAAACCGTGAGGGGTCACCTATGCCCTCCCGCAGCCCCAGGGCAGGCTCGGCTCTCCCTGACCCATCCCCGGCAGACATTTCCCGGCTCCGCTCCTATGCTGCTCGCTCCAAAGATGGAGATTCCATCTTAGGAAGATTAACCGAGATGCCACCATTTCCCCAGGGATATCACCGGAGCGTCGCACGGAAAGAAAGGGGGTGTTTGCGGCAAGCATCCGCGCTGGAAATTACTCCCGTGCATCACCCCAGACTGAAGCAGCGTTTGCTGAATTCCTCGGTGACCCACGTTCTGCCTCCCAGGAGCGCGAGGCTTGCTCCCGTTTGCAAAAGGACCTCAGGTAGGCGTTTGTCAGGGCTGGGCTTGGGTTCGGCGTTTTTCTAAGCCACGGGACAATGACTGCGTGTGGGGGGAGAGGGATCTGAGCCCAGCACGAAGGGAAACAATCAAAGAGGCGACACGGAGGGTCAGGCAAGCAGAGCAGTGACAAAGGACAGGGGCTCCATGCTGGGGACAGATGGAAGGAAACGGTGGCAAGGAATACACACGAATGAGGGCAAACGTAAGCGAGTTCCATGAGCTGGAGAGGGTGGGAGTGAGTTAGGGACGGAGGAAAGGTGATGGAAATTGAGGGAGAGGCACGCTGCGATCCCTCCGAGGGAGGCGGAGGATTAGGGGTGTGGAGGCAAAGGAGAGACACCCCAAAACGGCAAAAGGGAGACGGGCAAGGAGAGAGCGTGGCGAGAGGCGGAGGGAGGATCTAGAAATGGACAAAAGGACGCGTGGTGCAGTCGATGGTGTGAGAAGCAGGGGGAGGAGGAGGAGGGAGGGTCTCCGTGCAGGCCTGCAGACAGGAAAGCCAGCTTTGCAGAGACAGACAGATGGGGGATCCTGTGCTTAAAAGCGGGAGAAAATAACCCCACAGGAAATTAGACCAACTCCATCGCGACCAGCAGCCCAGCGGGTTCGGTGGCCCAGATCTCTCGCAGCTCTAAATTGGTACAGACAACAGGCCAAGCCACCAGCAGTATAAATCCAGATAACTCCACCAACTTCCAAGAGAGCCGCGCTGATTTACATCAGCTAAAATCAAGCTGGGCTTAAATCTGATTTCCCCACTTAGTGCCAAGGCTCCCAGCCCAGCTCAACCCCAACCCTGACCTTGCTTCGTACAACTAAATAGGGGCTGAGCCTCCTTTGACATCGCCCTGTTTCTGACAGCACAGCCAGTTCAGGATGTGGCCCTTTATATCCTGGCCGAATGAGCAGCACGGTCCTATGTGCTTTTTTCAAATGAAATTTGTCCTGTATGTTGTTTGGTTTTTTTTAATGAAAGGCTTTCTTCATGCGTAACTGAAATTTGAAAACAACATGCAACAAACCGCTTTACTCGGTGGATTATTAAAAGGGGAGAGAACTCCTTAGTAGGTGGTGGTAAAAATGTAAAACTAAGAGGAGAAAAGGACCCGTAGAAACTATAATAATATATAACTTTGCCGTAGCGTTCTACTCTTTAAGGCAGCGTGCAGACATCAGCTAATTGATCCCTGGCAGACTCCTGCCAGTTAGATTTTTATATTAGAGAGAGAATTAAGCCCTTTCTTGTTGTGGTTCCACTACCTAGCTTCTATTATTCTGGTTTTTGCCAATAACACAGATCCCAAAGCATCTGACAAAGGAGGCTTGTATGATTATTTCCTCCCCCCACCCCTTTTTCTTTTTAACTTCAGTTAACTGATTGCCAATTGACTCAAAGTAAATGTGTTTGCAAATTACTCTAGTAAGCCACAAATGTTAACATACAGGAACAAACCCTTGAGGACTGTCAAGCCTCCGGCACCCAGACCAGTTATCTAACTGGAATTAATCCGCAGAGCAGCTAGCTCTGGCGAAAAACGAATAAATAAATCGAGCCTAGACATTGCCAAACTGGGGAGGGGTGAGGGAATCAGGGGGAGATTTGGATGCACAGCCACATTCTCCTCTCTGCTTACCCCTGCATCAGGGGTAAATAAATCCCTCAAAACTAACAGGGAAGGCTTCAAGAGTTTGGTCCACCTGTCCAGCTAAGGCAGCTGCTCACGAGGGCAACAAGGGTGTAGGATGCGTCCGATCTGACTGCCGTTTACTGCGCGTGAACCCATCCCAAATCTTTTCTCACTCAGAGCGGCGTAAACCCAACGGGCTTCCGCGGGACCTCACCGTGGTTTGCACCGAGGCTCCCGTGCGCTGCTCTGGCAGCGGGAAAAGGCCGGAGCGGTGCACGGGATGGATGCGCACTGGATGTACCCACCGCACCATGCACGGTGTAAACGCCAGCAGAAGAACAGTGGGAAAATGTCCTAGCCATGCCTATGGAGTAGTTCCATCGGATATTTTACTTCAGTGTAAATTCAGAGCTAAACCCGCTGACAACCTTCTCGCTGCTAGTAGAAGGCCAGATCCTGCACAGGTACGTACTGCTACTGATGCAGTCCTACCTGGCACAAACTGGCACACCTCCAGCACGTGCCAGTTCATGCCCCGAAGCGTGGGCTTCACCTGCAAGCACCGGAGGTGCTGTGCCAGCTTCCAGCAAACAGCAAAGGATCCAGCCCCGAGGTGGGGTTTTTTTTTGTTTGGTTGGGGTTTTTTGTGCGGTTTGGTTGGTTTTTTTTTTCCTACAAAAACACACCACACAAATCGCTCCTTATATTTCTCGTTTTCATCAGATACAAAATTATCCCTACAGACAAAAGATTCTTAGTCCTCTTCTCATTTATACTAAGGCACCTTTACACTGCACTGGTATAAATTACACCTGTAAATACCCCACTTAGGACATTTTGACATTGCCGGTGTGGTATAAGAGAGCCTAAGGGCAAATTAGGACTTGGTCTTTTTTCTGTTATAGTCATAAAATTAAAGAGGACCATAAAATAAACAACCCTCAAATATCTCTGGTAAGGTGGGGCATTCTTTTCCCATTTAAGATGAAAGCCATGTTAAAAGACAAGCACACAAAGAACATCACAAATAAACCCTCCTGAATATCTGTGGGGTAAGATTTTGCTGCATTGAAAATCTGATGAAAGTGGTGTCAAAAAACACAAATGCACACAAAAGGACCACAAACAAACAACTAAATCCCTTTGCATTGAGGTTTTATTGTACTGATGATGCAAGTTGTGTTTACAAGAAGGCGAAAAAAACCCCAACACACCACCACGCCACGAAAATAAGCAACCACCTCATTTCAGCCCAGCGATTTGAAGCTTTTTCATGCAGCGATGAAAGTTGTTTATTAAAAAAAAAAAAGGGGGGGGGGGGGAAAAAAAAAAAAAAAAAAAAAAACAAACCGACCCAAAAAACAAAAACACAGGGCCAC